CGCATTTGGAACTGGCACTGTGGTTCAAGTAGTAGAGCCCTAGCCTTGAGCTGAAGAGTTGAGGGACAGTGTTCAGGCCCAGAGTTCAAGCCCCACAACCAACAAACAAAACAAAAAACAAAACACAACCAAAATTTTGCATTTGTGTTTCAAGTTTTCTTTCCTTTAACCTGATTTTAAAAGTGCCGTTAGTGGGGCTGGGAAGGTGGCTCAGTGGTAGAGTGCTTGCCTAGCATGCATGAAGCCCTGGGTTCAATTCCTCAGTACCACAGACAGGGCCATTAGTGACCTACGGTCCAAATATCCTAGAAATCCAGAAAATAAATATGAATGACTATGGGAACACGCAGGCTGCATTTCCCTAGCTCTTGCGTGCAACAACTTTAGCTATTAGGGAGACAGAGATAAGGAAGGATTGTGGTTCCAGGAAAGCCAGGGCAAAATGTTTATGAGACCCACCCCTCCTGCCCTCCATCTCAACCAACACAGCTGGGCATGGTAATGCACAATTAACTCTCATCCCAACTACACAGGTACTAAGGCAAGGAGATTGCAGCCCCAAGCCAGCCCAGACAAAATTCATGAAATCTCTATCTCAACAGAAAAAGTTGGGTATAGTGGTGATCCCCTGGCACTCCAGCTACAGCTGTGAAAGTATAGGAGAATCATGGTCCTGCTTAGGCAGGGAGAAAGTGAGACTCTATCTTAAAAAAGTTAACAGAACAAAAAGGCTGGAGAGTCTGGCACTGCGGGCTCACGCCTGTCATCCTAACTACTCAGAAGGCTAAGATCTGGGGACGATGGCTCAAAGCCAGCCCAGACTCAAAGTGGCATAGCAGTAGCCTTGAGCTGAAGAGCTCAAGGACAGTGCCCAGCCTGAGTTCGAGCCCCAAGACTGACCAAAAAAGGGGAGGGGATTGGAGGCCTAACTCAGGTAGTAAGAGTGCTTGCCTAACGAGTATAAAGCCCTGAGCTCAAATCACAGTACTCACAGATACAAGTTGGGGAAGCAGCAGGGGCTAACTTTTTTTTTTTAGTTACACATACCATAGCAGATTATTTTATCAAGCAGATAAATCTATATAGTCATATGAAATAATGAACATTAGCATCTATGGAAAGAAAAAATGGGAAGGTTTACAAGAGAACTAAAGTTGTAAGAACCTGGCAGGACTGCATCAGTAGTCAGGAATAATCCTGACTAACTTTGGAAATGAACAGCAAAGATAAAACAAGGACAACTAAATTAACATTACATTTTATCATCTTGAAGCATCTGAGACTTTCATCTACGGCCTCCCTAAACCTGCTGAAACACTAAGCTGTTATTACAGAAAGAAGTCCTGGAGGCCAATAGAACCTGCCAATGCCCTGCTAAGCCATTCCCCTAATAACACAATTTTGAGCACAAAATCAATATCCAATAGCAGAGCCTCTCAAAACATACCTCAAAATACAGATTTTTGGACATTATCTCTGTAATGAAAAAAACCAGACTAAACATTACCTTGGAAAGCCCAGCTCTCTCCTTCGCAAGCTTCTGTTTCTTTCTTCCTGTAAGAAATGTTATATTTTTGTTTAGCTGTAATCAAAACAAGAATCAAAAGTCTAAGTGGTATGGCTGGGTCCTGCCTGGCCTCCCTAGGGTCTGTCAGGGACCTGGGAATAGCTCCAGTCGAAGTGAACTCAGGCAAGTGGCATTTCTGGGCGAGAGAGCACTCTCTTGTTCTCTGAGCCACCAGGTCTAGCAATTCACAGCTCCAGCGGCAATGCCAACACCCCTTTCCTACATACACAGGACACGGAACAGAGAGAATTAGGCCACTGTCACCAAGCCTTATTACTGACATGTAGCACATCCTAAAATGGAAAAGCTGTATTTAACCAAGTTATCAAAAAACAAAATACAGTACGCACCCAACATAAGAAAGCAATGGCAAAATGCTCAGAACCTCACCTTTACAGCCTTAGTTGAATATTACTGGTGAAGGAAAACAGCCTATCATTTGTGACTTGTTTAGTTTCTGGTATGAAATAAAAGTCTCAGGAGAGAGACATCTATACTCCAGTTACTGGCTGTGGGAACATGTGTCTGGAATCCCAGCACTGAGAGGCTAAGGGCAGAGGGAGGGAGAGAGGGGGAGAGGGTTATCAAACAAAACTGTAGTTTTTAACTAGTCAGCTCTTCAAATCAATCCATGGAACAGACAGTACAATTTCTTCAGAAACCTGCTCTAAGGAGAGGAACCCCACAGGACAGTTGTGAGGAGTTAGCAGATAACAATGCCACTTAAAGCTACCTAGCTTGTGTTCCACTCTATGAGCATGTAAGCATCTACAATGAGACTATTCTTAGATAAGGGGCTGCACTAACATCAAAGTAATAATTCTACTCCCAATCTGCTTACGTTTTGGCCGTCTAATGGCACAAAATAGGTTATCTAATCCATCCTCACAGAAACTCAAAAGCAGGTATAGTACTGCCATCCCCTTGTTACAGGGTAACAGCAAGAGAGTGGCTATTCAAACACAGGCAGCTGACTCAAAACTCAATAGAGCAACATATTCATTATGATAAAAGACATTTCAGAAATAAGCAAAAGCCAAGGACCATGGCTTAGGCTTACAATCCTAGCTACTCAGGAGGCAGAGATCCAGGAGGATCCTGGTTCAAGGCCAGTCTGAGCAAGAAGTTCTCAAGACCTCATCTCAAATAGCTGGGTGCAGTACAATGTGCCTGTCACTCCAATTATGCATGAGGCCGAGAGCTGGGGGACTGGTGTTCAATGCCAGCCAAAGCAACCGTCCACAGAATTCTTACTCATCTCAACAGAAAAAGATTGACCATGACAGCCCAGTTAAAATGAATGGGAGGTGTTAAGAGCATTAATGTCCATGGCACAGGTAACTACTGAGACACATCTCAACACAGCAAAAATGGCTGGAAGCCGGCTCAAGTGGTAGAGGTCTGAATACCAAGCACGAAGCTGTAAGTTCAAGCCCTATACTGCCAAGGGGAAGGGGGGAGAAATGAACAAGTATTGTGCAATAAGCAATGAAATACGTAAGTCTGTTAAACCAGAACTTTGGCAAACTGACAGAAGATAATGAATCACACTAGAGTGAAATAGTTCCCAGCAGTATTCAAATACAGGTTTTGTTTTTATTTATGTTTTTGTCTGAGACAGAGTCTATTTAGCCCAAGCTGGCTCACCTAAAACTCCAACTTCCCCGGACTTTCTGTGATTATAGGTGTGGCCTACCACGCCCAACTCCGGATTTTTTTTTTTTAAACTTAGGAGTGGGGGGAGTGTGTGATTAATGCAGAATACATTTGATTGATAGTTCTGGAATTTTAAGCTACCTTAATTGCCTTTCTTTTTTAGCAATAAGATTAAAATTATGAATTTTACAAAATAAATTGTATCTGTGACAGAGGAAAAGATGGTAACAGACTGAAAAATCAAAATTCTAAAGAGTAACACAGCAAAACCAGACCTAACCCAGCATTAGCTGATTGTAGTACCAAATGCTGCTGCGTGAATCAAACAAGTTAAAACAGGTATGTCTACCTTAAAAAAAAAAATGGAGCTGGGAAGGTGGCCCAGTGGTAGAGTGCACTTGCCTCTCATGCATGAGGCCATGGGTTCAATTCCTCAGCACCACATAAGCAGAAAAAGCTGGCGCTGCAACTCAAGTGTTAAAAGTGCTAGCCCTGAGGTGAAGAGCTGAGGGACAGCGCCCAGGCCTGGAGTTCAGGGCCCAAGACCGCAAGAAAAAAAAGTAAAATATAGCTTACAATCATTTCCAAACCAAATCACTTTTCAGACACTTCCTTAGTATACTTCAGAATGACATACCATTTTATTCTTACTGTGTAGATGAAATAGATGTAAAATGGTATGTCATTCAGAGGTACATTTCTAAATGTACCTGCAGTATGCACTGTGATTTGGAAGTTAAATTTCACTTATTAGTAAAGATGAATGAAAACTGTGCTTTGCGGGCTGGGAATGTGGCTTAGTGGTAGAGTGCTTGCCTTGCATGCACCAGACCCTGGGTTGGATTCCTCAGTAACATATAAACAGAAAAAGCTGGAGGTGGTGCTGTGGCTCTAATGGTAGAGTGCTAGCCTTGAGTGCCCAGGCCCTAAGTTCAAGCCCCAGGACTGACAAAAAAATAAAAATAAAAAATTGTGCTTTAAGAGTGCTAATTGGGACTGAGTATGTAATTCAGTGGTAGAGTCATTGATGTGCTCAAGGCCCTGGGTGACACACTTAGCACAAACAAGAATATGTATAATAGGCTAACAAAATCCAAAAAAGATGGAATAGGAGCCTAGGACTAACCCTCAATAACAAAGTCTCCTTTTCCTTAACCAATCAATTTTCAGTAGATTAACTCGCTAGCAAAAAAAAAAAAAAAAAAAAATCAAAATTTTACTTATTTCCTTATCAAACTAAGGCGTGAAGCAGCTTGCCCTAGATGGTGGTCACGAACTGCGATCATCTACTTCAGGTAGAAAAGAACACTGGATGAAAAGGACTTTTGAAAATTAAGAGTCCTCAACGCGTCTACAGTGACAGCTCTTATGATTTCTCCCCTCCGAAGTCAGACTTCCCGGGGCATGCCAGGGAAGGGCGGGCAAAGCCCTTCCTCACAGCGCCGTCCACGTCTGCACCCCAGCGAAGGGCCGCACCGCGTGGGCAGCGCGCGATCGAGGCCTGCCCAGGACAGTGGTGGGCTTCCGCGCTCTCCACCTCCACAAGGCGCAGGCCGCACCCGGACCGAACAGCTAAGGGAGGCCTCATCACCCGCGACCGGTCTCGAACCCAACACAAGTGTTCTTCGTGAGTCCGCCTGGGCGTGGACGAGCTCACGCGTGCGCCTCGCGTCCGCGCGTGACCACGCCGCCCTTGGGAGGACTCCGCGCCGCGGCGGGCCTGGACCACGTGGGCGCGCACCCCATCCCCGTGGGGCTCCAAGGCGAGCCTCTCACGAGCTGTCGCAGGGAGGAAATAGGGCTGAGCCACGGAGGGCGCGCAGCCCTTTGGACTTCCTGCACTTGCTCTCGCATTCACTCGTATCCTGTAGGCGCCGGCGCGCGGCGGCCAGGATGGTTTAAGAATGCACCGCACTGGGCTCCGGAGTCCCCGAGCCACCCACCCCGCCAGGCCAGGGCAAAGATGGGGGACGGGTCCCCTCCAGAACGTGGGAGGGGGGGGCCGCGGTCCGGGCCCCGGAGGGAGGCGATGGGAGGACGGGAGGGGGTTGGGCGGCGCGGGCCCCGGAGGGAGGCGGCGAGCGGGGGCGGCCCGGGCCCCGGAGGGCGGCGATGGGAGGACGGGAGGGAGGACTGGAGGACGGGCGGGCGACCCGGGCCCTAGATAGAGGAGGTGGGAGGACTGGAGGGAGAGCGGGCGGCGGGAAGGCAGCTGAGAGGGCCGCCCGGGGCGCGCGGCGCCGCCATGTCCTCCGGGCCGCACCACGAGGCGGCCGCGCGGCGGCCCGCCCAGGGAGGCCGACACCCGGTCGGGCCTACTCACGTTCGCGAAGCCTGTTCTTGAAGTTGGGGTCACTCCGCCTCTTGCGGTCGAAGTAGATGCAGTAGCCGATAAAGAGGGCCCCGCACACGCCCGCGGCAATGGCGCTGTTGCGGCCCACCATCTTCCCGGACTGCGGCGTGCGCCGGCCGCGGCGGGCAACGGGGCGGTTGGCCGCGAGCCTTCACAGCGCGCGGGCCGCACGCAGCCGACGCCCGCCGGCCAGGACGCCGAAAAGCAGAACGCGGGCACTTCCGGCGTTCGAGGACCCCGAGGTGTCTGCGGCGGTGCCTGCGCGTATGCCCCTGAGCCCGGATGCGCCTGCGCGTAAGGACACGTGTCCACGGCCGAGTTGGAGGGGGAGGGGGGAGGAGGGGGCTGAGACGCATGCGTGATAGGGGCATTTCGCGTCACGCCCCGTGGACCAGGCGCGCGGTGAGGACGCCGGGAGGCCAGCCCGAGCCTTGCCGTCGGCGCCCTCTCCCTGCAGCTAGGTGCGGTAGGACCCGAACTAGACTCCCGATTCTCTTCAGTGCTGCCGTGCAGCGTTGCTTTTATGAGGCGATGGAAACGGAGCCCAACAGTGGGGAAGACGCGGCTCGGCCGCCGGGGCCGCCGTCGTGAGTACCGAGGCGGGGAAGCCGGGCAAGGACTGCGGTCCCGAGCGCCCGCGCTCTAGACCCCAGTGCGCGTGCGCACCGGGGACTTGGAGCTGCTCCCTAGACCGCGGTGCTTTCTGGGAAGGGCTGCGGACTCCTCGGGGGCCGGGCGGGGGGTGGGTAGGGGTGGGGTCGGACCCTGGGTGGCACCCATGCTGGCTTACCCGAGGGGAAGCTACGCAGCAGCCGCGGCCACGCGAGCCCGTCCACCAAGCGGAGGAGGTGCCTCCCCGCGGCCCGCCTGAACCTGCAGGGCTGGGCCTGCCTCCCTCCAGGCTGTAAGCAGGCCGGCAGTTCCCCATGTGGCCCTATGAAAGGCTTCTCTCCATGGCCTGTTTGTGATCTTCAAGGTGAGTGGGAAAGGGCAGCTGTAGAGTTTCACAGCCAGCAGAAGCCAAAGGCTGTGCATACAAAGACCTGCCTGAGACCGAAGACTCGGGAGCCAGGCTGGAAGACAAGGACAGGAACTCTCACAAGGAACCAAAATGACCAGTCACCTTTATTACAACCACTGGAAGGCAGATTTTAACAGTTATGGCAAGAAACCTTCACTGAAATTGAAAACCAGCATTTTTCCAAGTTACAGACCATGACTAAGTATCTCTGGAAGTTTTTCTAAAACCCACGTTGTTTTCCTATGTCAAATGTGTCAAACTAGTATAGCAACACAGGCATAGTCTGAGAAAGTAGAAAGTAAACATACACAAAACTGCCAAGTAGAACTGTAACATTCTCTTCAGCTTTAAAAAGTTGCCCACTCGGGCTGGGAAGGTGGGTCAGTGGTAGAGGGCTTGCCTTGCATGCCTGAGGCCCTGGTTCGATTCCTCAGCACCACATAAGCAAAAAGAAAAAAAGCCGGAAGTGGTGCTGTGGCTCAAGTGGTAGAGCACTAGCTGAAGAGCTGAGGGACAGCGCCCAGGTCCAGAGTTCAGGCCCCATGACCGGACCCCCCCCCCCCAAAAAAAAGCTGCCCACTCAGCAGAGCCCTGAGGTCACCACAGAGCCTCATATGTATGTACCATCTATACAGTCTACAGATGCCCTGAACTTTCACAAATTTAACCAGAATATGTGCAGAAATACCCAATGGTCAGGTAATATTTACTGGGCATAATTTCTAGAAAATAAGGTTCTACAATCACTAAGGAATGCCAAGAATAAAAATACTCAGCTTCGGGCTGGGAAAGTGGCTCAGTGGTAAGAGCGCTTGCCTTGCATGCCTGAGGCCCTGAGTTCGATTCCTCAGCACCACATAAGCAAAAAGCCAGAAGTGGTGCTGTGGCTCAAGTGGTAGAGCGCTAGCCTTGAGCTGAAGATCTGAGGGACAGCACCCAGGCCCAGAGTTCAGGCCCCACGACCAGACTGCCTGCCCCTCCCCCCCAACTATATATAAAACCAATATTAAAAGTTTGGGTTTTTGTTTTTTCCCTTGTGCCAGTAATGGGACTGAGTTCTAAGTTTTTTGCTCAAGACTGGTGCTCTACCACTTGAGCTAACAGTTCTACTTCTTGTTTTTTTGGTAGTTAATTGGAGATAAGTGTCTCACGGATTTTTCTACCCAAGCTGGCTTTGAACTGGGATCCTCAGATCTTAGCCTCCTTCTCAGAAGGGTAGGATTCAGGTGTAAGCCATCAGAACCCAGCTTTATTTTCTTAAATTTAATCATTCTTTAGCTTAGTTTAATACAAACAATATTCTTGAGAGAAAGTATTCTGTATGAAAATAATCTGTATGTTCACCCTGGGCCAGTACTGCCATTAGTAGTAACTCAGATCCTATGGTAATAAATCTGTTTACATATAAAATCCCTTCAAGTAAGTATTACAATGTGAGTAAACTAGCAATGTAAAACATTCACATTTTTACATACATTAAACCATAAAAAATGGACACAATCCACAGATGTACTGTCACAACAATACTCCACAGAAAAGCCACTTCATCATGACTTTTGTTTTCTTGGTTTCTTAATTTGTACACTTTTCTTCTGCCCTTTCTTCTTCTTCTTAATGAGAACAGCTTTTTCTCCAAGAAATACACTGTTAGACTGTCTTGCATGTGTGGAAGCAAAGTTAAATCCCTGCTTAGGTTTACTGATACTCTTCAAACCTGCATTTGAATTTTGTCTTAATTTTTCCTTATTAACAGATCTCATGACTCTGAGTTTTCTTCCCATTAGCTCAGAATTATTTAACTTCAGAGCCAGATGAACAGCATCCATATTCTATATAAAGAGAGAAAAAAGGGATATATCAATTTCTACTAAGAAACATCACCCAAGAAGAATAGTAAAATTTGGACTCTAATAGGTTCTTACAGGGATCTTAGAGTTTACAAGCAGAGCCACTCTGCTATACCATGCCTCAGGTGTCCCCAGAACCCCCAGATTTCCCTGAAATCCCTCAATCTGCCTCCTCAATGTTCAGATCATACTGGATTATATGGGCTCCCTTGTCAGCAAGAGTTTCCACCAAGAAGGGAATCGAGATCGCTGAAGGCTAGCAACCTTACTCAATGGAATTATAGTGGATAACTTTGCAGCTGTAGGGAAAGAAATAGACATCTAAGCACTTGAGGCATTTAGGACCTAAACAGAAACCTTTCCACATCATAGTAAAATGGTAATCAGTAGTGCAGAACAAATAATACTTGAAAGTTCTAAAAGAAAACACTATACTAATATACTTAACTAAAGCAAAGTCATCAGATCAACCAGACTTTCAGGAGAGCATGGACTGAAGGAGTCCAAGCAAATAGCTGCCATCCAAGATCACTATACCAAACCTTTAAAGTGAAGACCTTCCCTGATAAGCCCAGACTAAAGCAATTCATGACCATTAAGGCAGCATTGCAGAAAACAATACCACAGATACAGGTGCAACTATGAAAAGGAACACACAGGAAAAACCGAAACACTAGTAGATGATTGCTTAGGAAGCAAAATTTAATTTACTCATGTTAGGCTTGAAACATTTTGGTATTAACTAGTGGACCATACACGAATACCTTGTAGAGACCTGAAAAATTTCTTCTCTGTGGGTTATTCAGAGACTTAGTCCTTCTAACACCCAACATCTAAAACATCATTTAACCACGTTAACAGGAAGAAGAAACTAGAATATTTTTTAGCTGAGTGCAGCTACAGCAACCTAATCTAAGGTGAAGGCTGTTTGGTGAGTGTGAAGTTGGAATCTGAGGGTCTCTGAAGGCCGACTCAGCAAAGACCCCTCCCTGAAGCCAAAGGCCAGTAACAATGCATACTTGTCTCCCATACCTCAAAGAGCACATAGCCAAAGCCCTTGCCAACTCCTGTAACTGGGTCTCTGACGATCCTCACGGCCACAACACTCCCACAGTCCACAAAGTGCTCCTCCAGGGCAGGTTCTTCCACCTCTGAGAAGAAATTCACCAAAGAAGGTCAAGGCTCGGCCTCCCTTTACAAAGTGGGGATGTGTGATGAGGCAGCAGATGAACAAACTCCATTACACAGCACATCTTACAGCTAGGGACTGAATTCAAGGCCTCATGCAGGCCAGGCAAGGGCTCTACTACTAAATACCCCACCCCTTCTCCAATGTTGAATAGCAAAACCTTTTGCTCCAACTTACTGTAAGGAAGATTCCCCACGAAGACTGATCTTTTGTCTCTCTGAAATACAAAGTGAAATCTCTTGGTACAATGAACATACAAATGCGTGTGTGTGCACACACACACGCAAAGGTTTGCTCTATTGGGAATGGCAAACATTTCCTATGGAAAGTCAGCAAGTGTTTCACCCTGGGGGGCTACGTGGTCAGTTCTGTATGTATGTATGTAAGGTGTGCGCCCACAACATTAACCAATGCTGGAGGGTAGATTTGCTGATCCTGTGACCCATCCCCAATCAAGCCAGGACTTTTCTCCATGCTCATTTCAACCAGGCCACTCTGAC